TTTATGAAGTATATTTTTTTATTTTTTCAATAAATTTTTAATGAAAAAGAAATGATATATAAATTTATATATATAGATAGTTGGAATGATTCAAATTACTTCTACTCGGTATTCTACTTTTTACTCGGTAACTGCTATGATAAATTGATAAAAAAGTAAGGATCGTGTAGATAAAAAAAGATCAATTACTAAATAATTGACAACTATATATAAATAAATGTTTAGAATAAATGTCAATACACAAGAAATTGTGCCACTAGCCTGAAATTCCTTTTCAGAATAACTTATATTGAAAAAAAAAACAGAAATAAAAGATAACACTTCTTTAATTAGTTTATTATATAATAGTGAATAATTCTGACTTGCGAGCGTTGATCAAAAAAGATCATTTACTAAAGGATTATATATATATATATATATATATATATATATATATAAAAATTGTCAATGCACATGAAATTCAACTTTCACAAATTTTCAAACATAAAATTGGATTTTATGAATCGATAAAATTTTATCGATATAAAACCAAAGATCTTCACAGAATTTCACTTCACAAAAGTGAAAAAATCAAAAGTTTCGAAATTTTTTTTTGGCAAAAAAATTTACAGTCCAGGCAAAGTTGAAGACGTATTACAAGTGAATGCATATAAACAGGTCGTGAAGGGTAGAAATACAATCAATATTGGCGAACAAAGAAAATGAATTTGTTTAAAACTTCTTATAATCAACACGAAACACTACAATTGCTGAGTTAAAAATGAAACACCATTTAGTGAACACATTGACTAACTCCAAAACGCAACAGTGAAAAAGTAATATATATATATTGCTTTTAAAATTTCCTGTTATAATATAAATTGAAATACATAATGTAGATTGTATATATATACATATATAGCTTACATATATATAACCTAATTGTGAATAAATAGATATATAAACTAATAGTGAATAAATAATCGTAAGTAATGTTACAGTTTCGATGTGGCTGATGGAGTTATTCAATTTGACAACTGCAAAAATAATAAAGTTAAATTCAGTACTTCAATTAATAAGAATTTTTTTAAGTAAAACTTCTTTAGGCGCGACTAGGGAGTAAATCTGTACAAATGCAACTACAACAAATATGCAAATACAACAGTTCATCATTCGCTCTCGATTAAGTCATTTCTATGCTGTTGTATGGGATGGCATTTATGTTAAAAATAAATACATCATATAACAATTTTGAATAATGTTCATTAGTAATATGATAACACTCGTGGTACACATATTTATTGGTGTCAACAATTATACACATTTATATAATGATAAATTATAAATTATATATTTATAATAGCATTAAAAATATCTATAATATCTAAAAACAATAATGTAATTAAAGTCATACTTCAAATATGACATGATCGGTTTGTCATTGTAATTAGCATTTAAGACTTGAACCTTCATCAGAGAAAAGTAGGAATTGCTGATTAATAAATTCTATAATATTCATTCACACAGTGGATTATGTAAAACAACGCTTAAAGAAATATTGTTTTGACAATTTCACTCATCATGTAATAATTGTGTTTGAAAACTTCATGTAATTAAAATTAACATATATTCATTGACTGCTTGTATTTTTTACTTTTTCGTTGGCTATATAATCTCATTCTTGAACAGCTGTAATATCTGTCTTGTCTAAAAAATATTTTCCATTTTAATAACTTCAAAGATTTATAGAAACTATGAATAACATAGAAATAATTTCAAATCAATAAACTTACTAATCATTAATCTTATTAATCAATGTTTTCAAGAAACGGTGGCCTTTAAAAAAGACCGATAAAAACTATCTGAAGAGTTTTGAATTGTGCTGCTGAAGACGAATGGAGAAGATAAAGTGGTCAGACATTACAACAAATGAAGAGTCCTGAGGAGAGTGGATGGAGAGAGAACTCTACTGAGCACGATCCTGAAAAGGACAGAAAACTGAATCGGCCACCTTCTGCAAAAACTATGCCTTCTACACAATGTAGTCGAAGGTAAAATAGAAGAACTGAAAAAAAATGGGAAGAAGAAAAATGCAGATGGTTGACGACGAAGAGGAAATACAGAGAACTGAAATCCGAAGTAAAGGATCAGGAAGCATGAAACCAGAAATTTGGAAACAAAAATACATTAAAGATATAAAAAAGGGAATACTGTTTATGAGAATGATAGACAAAGAGGGAAAGAGAATCATTGGTTTCGTGGTGACTCTCACATAATGGTATGCCTTCGGGCAGACTACCATTTATTATTATTATTTAGTTTATTTTAATCCTGAAAGTTATTATAAACATAAGTAATTACAATTATACCAAGTACTTTCGCAATAAAATTTAAGTTTTTTCAAAACGTGAGTTCACATAGTTAAAATTTGATTTAGAATGGATGGAGCATTTTTATCAGAATAATGTAGTTAGCAGCGAATTTCACAACCTCTACAACAAAGCAAATGAATTTGTTTTAAACATCTTTAAATTAATACGAACAACACATTTGTTTTTTATTTAAATTTATTGAGTTTTATTTATATATAAAGAATTTGATGGAGTATTTGCATGATAGTGTCATCGTTGATTTGACAAAGAAAACACAATTTTCACTTAAAAAATCGGTCGAAGTATTTTGAAGAAGTTTTGAACACCTCTCAATGTTTTTCTATTAACACACAATTAACTACTAATTCATTTGGAATATTCAATATAATCTCCATAGCAAAGAAAATGTTATAACTTTTGAAAAAAAATCTGTCATAATTTAAGGTTAAAAATGTAATTGACAATTAAGTCACGCTCACCACAATGCACTTGCAATTGCAATTAATTTATAAACAATTTGTTGGCAATATGCAGAAAAATTCGATACATTAATTTAAAAAGTAATAAATTAAATAAAACCTAAACAGTTAAAAATATAACAATAAATATGACACTGTTATGGCGGCCAGGGTTGTACAAACTCTTGCTCAGTGTCCATATGTCATATAAAGATACATCAAATGCATAGATAAATAAAATATTAGATAAAAGAAGAGTATGATCGAATGGCTTTGAAGTTTTTGAAATTAGTCTAGCTGTTCACGAGAAACCGTGGAAAGTACACACACACATACTTTTTTCAAAATTGGTCTTCCTCGATCTCATTCGATTCAGAATGACTTGAACCGTCGAGAAAACATAAAAGTAGCTAAACGGATTTACTGGCAAAAACAAATTTCTCCTTCGGGAAGTTAAAAATTCAATATAATCAACATTATATGCATCAAGAAAAAAAAAAGACAATTTTTTTTATAATCATAATCATTTTTTGACCTACAAACTATTTTTTTTAGATTACAAATTATTTTATTCCATTAAGTTTATTAGTTTTTGTTTATTTTTTTTTGATTATTAGTAAATTATTTTATTCCATTAGTACTTTACATTTGAGAATACAATTAACTCCCGTAGGGTAAGTTATAATAATCCCAAAAAAATATATCTTTCCAAAGGTTTCTGTATATTTTGGCATACCTTAGAAAAAAATGAATGTTTGTGTATGTGCGGATACAAATTTTAGTCGAAGATTTTGGGAACACCGATCAACCGATTTGAATAATTCAAAAAACATTCGACTCGTATTGATAATGAGATGTGCTGATTAGTTTTTATCGGAGGCAGGTCTAGCCGTTCCGGTAACTCAGTTTTTATGAGAACGGAGCGTCCGATTTTAATTAATAATTCAAAAAACAGTTTACTTGTATTGACAAGATGTACAAGTTAAATTTTTGGGACGGCAGGTCCAGCGGCTATGGACTCCCAATACAAATAAGCTAAAAAAAATGCCATTTGGTGTTCATTAGACATATGTACATCAAATTATCAGATATTTTATAGAGATTTTAGTAATGTGTACACATTTTGTGTAAATTTTTCTTGATTCCGTACCAAGATTTTTAATTACGATACAGTAAGTTCCAGCAGTTTGCCTTGAGGCACGATGCCATGCACCCCACTAGTTGACTTCCCGTAGTGTAATTAACTTCCCGTAGGGTAAGTTATAGTAATCGCAAAAAAATCGAAAATGAAAATTTTTATATATTTTTATGTTTTAGAGGTTTCTGAATATTTTGGCATACCTTAGAAAAAATGGATGTATGTGTGTGTGTGTGTATGTGTGTATGTGCGTGTGTGTATGTGTGTTCGGATATAAATTTTCGTCGACGATTTCGGGAACACGGATGAAGCGATTTGAATAACTAAAAAAACATTCGATTCGTATTGATAAGGAGACGTGCTGATTAGTTTTTGGCAAAGGCAGGTCTAGCCGTTCCGAAGATATGGGGCAAAAAGTGCCAAAAAACGATAACTCAGTTTTTAAGAGAACGGAGCGTCCGATTTGAATAATTCAAAAAACATTTTACTTGTATTAACAAGATGAAGAACTGATCAAATTTTCATGAAGGCAGGTTTAGCGGTTTCGGAGATCTAGTGAAAAAAGTAAATAAAAATGCCATCTGGCGGTCAAAAATGATCATTAGACATATGCACATCAAATTATTAGATATTTTATAGACATTTTAACAATAAGTATAAATTTTGTTTACATTCCTATGGCTTCCGTACCAATGCTTATCCGTTAGACGGCGGCGCGGCGCTTACGCGCTTCGATATTATATATTCAGAATTTCCAAAATATTTCAAAATACACTTTTCTTCAAAAAGTCTTTTTTCCAAAAAAAAGTAAATTTCTGTCACAAATTTATAGTTCCTCAAAAATCTAATTTTTCAGAGCAATTTTTTTTTTCAAAAATGTTTATATATAAAAAAAAAAATGGTACGGGAAGTTCTAGCAATTTGCCTTAAGGCACGATGCCATGCACTCCACTAGTTTTGTTTTATCTCACAATTGTTCTTCGGATTCAATTCCCGGTCGAGAACGTTCTGTCAAATTTTGGCCAACCCTGAACTTTCTTAAAGTACGCCATTCGCGTGCCAGTTGAAAGGAATCGTCAAATAAAAACAGAAAAATTGTATTTATTCACTTGGTTAAAGTGACTAAAGACACTTGTGAATATTATAAAATTTTCTTCGGAAGCGAATAATTCTAATAGAAGTTAAAGAAAAACAAAATGGTGAATTTTCTCAAAATTATTAAAAAATAAAACAAATAGGTTATGATTTTGTTCTGACTGCTTGTCTTTGTTTTAGTCTCATACGATATTATTGGTGCAACCTGGTCCAAATCCAGAAACCAGAACTTATTCCGATTACGAGACAGTTAATGAATGTATGGAAGGCGTTTGTAAAATTTACGAGGAGCATCTTAAAAGGAAAAATCCAAATACACCCACAATCACCTATGATATTAGTCAACTTTTTGATTTTGTGGATGGGGTAAGTTGTAATAGAATTATGAATCGACTGTGATATTTTTAATAATCTCAATTTATAAATACTCATTATGTTATCCCTTTAACTAACCAATAAGGCATTTTTTTATGAATGTTTCCTCGAATATCAAAATAATGCTGTTTTTATATTCAAATTTTCTGCACTCTTTGCACCATATCTCCGAAATGGCTTGACCTGCCTTTGCCAACAACTAATCAGCACATCTCCCTATCAATAGGAATCAATTGGTTTTTGAATTTTTCAAATAGGTTTATTCATGCGCGGTTAAAATTTCATTTTTCAGTTTCAAATCGGTTTATTCATTTTTCGTCGACGAAAAATTGTCTCCACACATCAATTTCTTTTGAGGCATGCCAAAATGTTCAGAAACCTTTAAAACGTAAAGATATATAAATATTTTTATTTTCATTTTTTTTTTTGCAATTACTTAACTTACTCTATGGGAAGTTAAAAAGAAATTGCACTTCCTTAATATTTTTTAACAATTTGATTTTATGAGGGTCCATGCATTATAAAAAATTAATGGACTGCAAATTAATATAAGCAATATAAAGGAAAAATTAGTAATTACTTATTTTTTTCATATCATTTCAAAATTTTTGAATAGTATTTTGGAAACATCTGTACCATGAAAACCATGAAAGCAATGCCTTATGTTCATCCTATGTAAAATTGGGATTCTTTATAAGGGATCGTTCAAGTATTACATAAGCAGATTTATTACAATTATTTACCCCCCCCCCCATCCCCCTTGTCAACAAAAGTAAGCAAAGCTTTTACCCTCTACCCCCATGCTTACATAAACATTTTGCAATTAATGTAAAAAAATAAAAATACTACCTATGACGCAATTGTCATCCAGACTCCCCTGCCCCCCATGTCAACCCAAAATAAGCAAATCAACAACCCCCCCGCCCCCCTATAGTGCTTATGTAATACTTGAAAAAATTGTTTACTTATGGATAAGACTAGGGTATGCAATTTAATTATAACATCTAATAATTAAAACAATGATGACTGTTTGAATTCCGTGAAAATTTTACTCTGCTTGAGTACGGTTACACACTGTTATTGGTGTTCTCTTTCATAAAATTAGAATTACAGTTTAACACTGTCTTGTATATTAATTTATTCTATAAATTTATGAATTAAAAAAAAAATTATAGTAAGTATATTACTACTTACAATCTTTTTGTCTTGAGCATGCAATGTAGATTTTCAAACACAAAAATTAAATTGGAATTATTTTTTAAAAACTGCATGCATATTAGTTAGGCAACTAAGTAAGTGTTGCCCTTATTCTTTCATGGTTTTATTGAATTTTTAGGTTTGCTGACATAGTCCAAATGTAAAATACCTTTTGTTAAAGGATAATAGGCAATTCAGCTGCAAGTAAAAAAGAGTTTTTCAATTGATTGTGTAATTTTCGTTTGGCATTTGTTGAAAGATGCTAAAATAAATCAAAATTTCATCATATTTTGCTTTTTTATTTCTGCAGAAGTAAAAAGGCATTTAAAGTTCACAAAACTTTGAGCTTTTTATGGTGACAGCCTTAAAAAAACGGCAGTGACAAAATTGGTTTGCCAAGTTTGGTTGTGGTGATTTCTCACTTAAAAATAAAAAAAACGTTCTAGTCATCCAATTAAAGTTAATTACAAAAGAATTGTCTACTTTTACTCTTACCACTTAGCCAAACAATCAATTCTGATGTCTTTATTGAACAACATGAGAAATCAAACAACGCAGTTAAAAAAAGCAGCCTGAATCGACCAATCTAAGCAGTTTTTGTATCCATTTTTAACATCACATACCTTTGGTCTCTCGGCAAGAATTATTGAAGCTTGGTTGGGTTGTTTTCCAAATCCACCATGCAGTCCTGACCTTGCACCTTCTGGTTACTTTCTGTTTCAATCCTTACAAAACTCCTTGACTTGAATGGTAAACAATTCAATGATTATGATGTCAAATTGTACCAGATTCAGTATTTTGTTAATAAAAATCAGAAATTTTATGAAAGTGGGATAATGATAGTGCTTGAAAGATCACAAAAAGTCATTGATCATAATGGACAAGGGATTATAGAATATAATTATTTAGTCTTTGATTTTATAACAAAAATCAGCACTTATTAATTTCCAACCTGATAAATGTATATACCATGAAAAACTTACTCAAGAATATCTTTTCTATTTCCATTTTTCTTTTCAGTTAACCGATCTCAGTTGCATGGTACATCAGAAAACATCTAATACCTATGCACCTTACAATAGAGAATGGATTAAGGAAAAAATCTATGTCCTTTTGCGTCGAGCAGCTGAACGTTCTGAACATTAACTATTTATATTTAAATTATAATAAAATTCGATAGAGATAATTTTTCTCCTGACTGTAAGAGATTATATATTTAAGAAATTTTTGTTTCTATTGATTCAATTATGTAACCATCAATTCTATTTTTTTTTTGATTGTATTGATTTTTTTCTAAACTTATGATGCAAAGATTTTTTTATACTAAAATTATGAATAAGTTTTATATAATATTTGTTACTTTAAAATAAAATTATTATGAAGATTTTTTTTTGACATACTTAATAAAAAGATAATTTAAAATTTATACTGGCTTATATTTACTACAGTATGAAAATCATCATATAACAAGTTTTTTTATATTGTTTAAGCAATAATATATTAATAATTTCAAGTACATTTAGTCATGTCAGATTAGTAAAAATATAAAAGCACTCTTTATTTAACCCTTACCACTCAGCACTGATTTAAAAACAATCTAATAGCAAACCGGTGCCGAATTCTGAGGAAAAAGTACCTGCAGTAAACTTGATATTATTGTATTTGTTATGTATGAAATTATGCACATTGAAAAATATACATTTACAATAATATCAAAATTTATTTTCTGCAGTATGTTGAATTTGAAACCAATTTTCAAATGGCGTAGTGGGAATCAATCCAGCATCATTATTATTAATTAGTGGCATTTTGTTATTATTTCCCTTTTTTTTTTTATATGTCTATCCTTTTTGATGAAAATTTTATTTTATGAATTGTTCAGTGGTTTTGCCGGATTTAAAAAAAAAGGATAAAAATACCAAAAGATAAATTTTGAAAAGTAAACACTGTTTTATCGTTCTATCACTGTATAGATTTATTCCAAGAATGAGCAACCTTTTCACCTCACGGGCCACATTTAATTTTTAGAATCTTAAGGGGGGAGCCTGCTTTTAGAGGCTTAAAAAAAAAACGTTTTTTTTTGCAAAAATGTCTTCCAAAACTAGCCAAGAATATATCCCTAAAATTTCAAAAACAAATTAAAATTATTTTCGAAATTGCAGAAGAAATAGTGAGCAAGCGTCAAGCATGTATACGAGCGGAACGAAAACTTCGAAGCGCGATTTCTCGGTTTTTAATTTTTTAAATTTTTCTTAATTGGCTGGAAAGATAGGGAAAAAACTAAACGTCCTATCAAATCGAGACAAAATTCATTGTAATCAGGATTAAATCCTTTTTAATTTTAATGAAAAAATTTGAGAAGAACGTTGAGATATATAACAATAAAACCTGAAAGATTCGTTTCAATTAAATATTTATTTCCTTCTCTAAAAATTTTCCAAAAAAGCGATTTTTTGAAGCATCTAAAAATAATTCACAAAGCTTGAAATATACTAATAAACATTATAATATAAAAATTTTAATTCAAAAAAAGTAAATATTTCATAAATTAATGCACCTAGAAAAAAATACTTTATAATTATAATTTATTAATGGTAAAAAGTTTATGAAATAAATAAAATTCTACTTTGGAAATGCATGGCGGTTGCAGAAAATATTTAAAGGGGGTTGCTCATCCTTGATCTATTCTATTTGACGCTTCAATGCGCACTGAGTCATTGTGTACACAAACTGCTGAGTGATAAGCTATACTTATGTTGTCCCCTCAGGGGAACAGCCGAGCGTAAAGGGTTAAATATTTGTGATTCAATGTAAAATATGTTTATATAAATGTATTTTACATTATATGTTTAGAGTGGAATGAATTGCAGCATTTGTTTGTGGTACGAATCATTTTTTTTTATATCACAAAGCTCCGAATCCTTGCTACTATTAAGTCCACTAAAATTAATGATGCAATTGATTATTGAGGTACTGCATTTAAGTATTTTACATGCATATGTAAGTATATAGAAATAAATTACTTTATTTTACAAATTTTGTTTTAATACTCATCATATCACCTAAATTTTCATAACAGTCTCAAATTTAATGGCAGGTTTTGTTTTTACTGTTAAGTTAAAGTACATTCATGTCACAACTATGATAATAATCCATCATATACTAAATTGATATAAATATAAAAATAAAATAATGAAATGTAACAACTAACTAAACTATAATTAGAGGGATGTTTATCAGTTACTTGATTTGATCAACATTGCTGGTTAAAAATTAATATATTGCTTAGATAATATTGATGGTCATATATAAAAAAATAATATTCTATATATTGATCATTTAATATAATTTCATACTGCTATATAAATGTATACATCATCTAACATTAAGATAAAAAACTGTTCTAATTCGCTTAATTTTCATATAAATTCTTTATTATAGTATAAGCACCGACTTTAGAGTATTTAACAAAAATACGTATCATGCTTTTAAAAAAATAATACTATCCCTTACTCAAATAAAATATAATGGTAACTTATCATAAAATAAAGAATATAGTTATTTGAGACATATATATATATATATATATATATATATATATATATATATATATATACATGTGTTAAATTCCTTTACTAACAGTCTTCTTGTCTTCTTCAATAAATTTATTTGTTTACATTTTTTCCAATTATTTATTAGGTGTCTAATAGATCTTTTATCATGTTCTCTTAAAACGTAGACATTTTAAAAATTTCTAAAATGTCTTTTAGATATAACTTAGCGAACAAATGAATAACTTTTATTCAAAATTTGACGCTCTACAAAACCAATTATAAAAAACCTGTTTTTCAGAGCCTCGAATTTTCAATAAAAGATGACACGAATTGCCACTTTTAATTCATTTGTCGCTAAGTTATACCTAAAAAACATTCTTGAAATTTCCGAAATTTTTTCCATGCTATTTCCTACAAAGCTTTGATTGAATTGCGCACTATCTGAAAGTTAATATTAAGAGCTAAAACTTCTAGAGATTTTTTTTTGTCAATTTAGAAGCATTTAAGCCTGGGAGCAAAGAAATTCGAAAATATATGTATATATATATATATTTTTTTTTCTTATCAATAGTTCTTGATAAAGGGTACATCCCATATCCTCAAACCATTGAATAAAATAATTGAATAGATTTTAAATAAATAAAAAAATTGAAGTAATAAAGGAGGCTGTTAGTTAGGCAGTTCAACAATCGTAATTACTAATAGCTATCCAAAAAATCAACAATATGTATATATACATATTTATGCATATATACATATAATAAAAGTACTTACATAAGGTCAATTCATATTACTTATGTGATACACCTTAATATCACATTAACTTCTGTGTGCAAAGTACACAGATGTTAATTTCGTATCAATAATTTTTTTTCCAACTTTAATTAGGAAATAGAGATTCATAGGACGGAGGAGGATCTTTATCAGGGTCAACATGTGATGGTACTTGCGGAGATGCATCTTCAGCCATTTCAAACACAGGTGGATGTACAATCTGTAAATTACAAATATTAGAAATTGCAATTTTTTGAACATCAAGAATATTATTTGATAATTACAACTTCAATTGTAGGTGCACTAGGTAGTACTGCAGTATTAACATCATTTATATCATCTGGGTCACTAGCTCTTTGCCTTGATGATGAAACATCTGGATGACAAAATGGTCCCCAACAACAGACGTGGTGCTTTCTACAAGCCCATAAACATGTTGTGAACAGAAGTAGAAGCAGAAGAATCGTGGTCACTGCTCCTAATGTTATAGGTGCTGGCTGGATGTAGTCAATGTCATCTCTGAAATAATCAGATTAATAAATGAGTGAATTAGAACTAATGAAATTAAAATACTTCAACAGTCACTGATACATTGGATATATGTTGTTCAACATTTATTCGTACTATAAAAAAGATTTCCAGAAAAAAAAAAACTAAAACAAAATACTAAGAAAGAAAACTTTGGTCTTCTCAAGATCTTGTTTACAACTGGTTTAAATTAATTTTACAATTTCAACCATGCAACAAACTATGTCAAACATAGAAAAATGCAAGTCGTAAAAAATTCAGAAGGAGCCAAAATACTAGTGTCCAAAATGCAATGTAAGGTTGTGTGTTGTATGTTGCAAAATATATCATACTAAAACTGCATATCAAGTAAGTTTATTGTAATTAGTACCAGGAATAAAAAATATAGTTGAATCAAATGAAAAAGTAACAATTTTTCTCAAGAATATCCAACCATTAACTAGTTAATGATTTTTTATAAGGTAGCTCTAAATTAAAGTTTTACATTAAGTAATAATTTGCTAACTAAGAACATCTTAAGAAATTTAGCTCACACAAGTTACTCAAATATTTAATAAAATTTATAGTTTTATGTCTATTGTTTTTTTTCATTCTTCTAATAATTACATTGCACACGAGTATTTAAAAGTGCACTAATTAATTTTCTATAAAGTGATAACAACAAAGGCTGCATTAAGGTGTATTCGAAGCCTTAACAATTCCTAAAATCATAATGAATTAATAAAAATTACTTGTGATTAATTTAAAGTACCTTAATTATTTATGGACTGATTTCAAATGTTGGACTTATGTATTGCAACTACATTAAGATTTGTAGAATAATAAATAAAATGATAGAGAAATTTCAGAAAGCTCAAAATAAAGACACCATATCAATTCTTATATCATCCTCATAATATCTTTAACTATTACTATCAAGATTTTCTTATTGCATTTGTATTTTGATTTTACTTTAGACTTAATGTCCAATAAATTGACTTTTTGTTGTAAAATTAAATATTTCAACAATTAGTTACAATAATTAACTAACTAATTTGTTACAACAATTAACAATCAAGCTAAGCTAATATAAAAAAACTTACAGTTCACTAAGATGCTCACAGCCATCTTCATCAAGGCAGTCTTGAGATGGACAATTTACAATGTTGTCCTCCCAAAATCTGCCATATATACAACCTTCATTTCTTTCAGGAATGCATGGTTTAGCATTCGCTCCTGCCTTACTACAATCTGTAAAGAAAAATGTTTAATTATAAATAAAGAAGATTATGAATTAGGGTTTATTGGTATTAAAACTGGTATAAAAATAAATAATAAGTAGTACTGCCTTAAGGCAGGTCTGTGAACTGAGCATTATATGGAATTAAGTAAGAATTTATTTTCCTGTATGTTTTCATGCTCATGTATGCATCAATAATTTACTTTATTACTTGATATCATATTTGTAGTCACTCAAGTAAATAATTTCAGCTTTCTCAATTGTAATTGTATATTACACTAAAATAATTTCTTTCCTCTCCACTTTCATATATTATATTTAAATCATTTTCTGCTAGGTAAAAACTGAAAAGTGGAATAAACATTTTCAACCAATGTCTGATATCTAAAAATAAAAAGTGATATTTTTTCTCACATTATTTTGAAGCCTCCACGCTATAAGTTCAGAAAAATCATACATTTATAGAAGACATACTTTCTTCAATAAATGTAACAAATTTTATTTCAGAAAATTATTGAGATAGATATCAAAAATAGAATCCAATCCTGAACCAGAAAAAAAATGTTACAAACAATTTAATAAATAAATAAATATTATAGAAGTTCAAATGAATCTAAGAGTATATTGTTTAAGATTCAATATACATTTTTTTATTGTTCTTGTCAAAACTATCAAATCTGGGACAACTAGGTGTAAGTGGCATTTTGTTTTAAGGTAAGTTGTATCAACTTTACAATATGTATAAACAAACGACTTCATAAGAACTGCGATTTAGCTAGTTAGATAAAATTTTCAGCTGTTTATTTCAAAAATAAAGTCAAATTAAGGATGTCTTTCAAACAAACTCATTATATATCTGTAATTGCATCAATAAAATTAATCACATACACAAATGTTCAATCCTTTTGCTACAAGTGTTCTTATAGATGACATACACAATGTGCCTCTGATTGTGAGTTAAATATTTGTGATTTCTAATTTTTGATTGTGGTTTTCAGTATTTTAGATGTCAATTTAAAATTGTAAATACATTTTTAACTATAATGATTAGAAAATTTGAAATTATTTTATATAGCAAATACTTTGACAGCTTGCTGGCTCATAGAGCAGTATCACTTCTATGCAAAACATTCTCGTAGCAAAAAGATAAAACATTAAATTCTAATTACAGGTTTTATAGAAATTAATTTGTCAGTCTCCATCAACTTCCAAAAAAACTAGTGGTGTATGGCATCGTGCTTTAAGGCAAATTGCTATAACTTTCCGTACCGTAATAAAATATTCGAGGAATATTAAATGTTTTCAAATAGATTATTATAAATACTGTAACATTGTCTAATATTTATAAGAAATATATAAACTGAATTGCAAAGTTAAAATTATTTATTTAAAATATATAAGTTTTAGAACATCAGTCAGAATTAAAATTAAAATCTGAATTATTTTCGATATATAAAAAAAAATGAAAAAAACATTTTTTTGAAAAAAAAATTGATTTTTTTTTCAAAAGCAATTATTTTGTTAAAACAAGGAGAAAGTTTTTTGAATCTTTCAAATCGGACGCTTAGTTCTCTCAAAAACTGCCATTTTTTGCACATTTAGCTCTGTATTTTCGGCAGGACCTGCCTTTGCACAAAAACTAATCAGCATATCTCCCTACCAATTGAATTAGAATGTTTTTTGAACCATTCAAATCGGTTGATCCGTGAGCCCGAAAACGTGAACGAAAAAATGAGAACACACACACGCACGCACATCCATTTTTTCTGAGTTATGCCAAAATGTTTAGAAACCTTTAAAACGTGAAGAAATGCAAAAATTTTCATTTTCGATTTTCGGCCCATTACTATTACTTACTCTACGGAAAGTTAAAAAACGCAAAACCAAACGACGCAAATCGAAGTACAAATGTAGTAAAACATTGAATTGAATGGGTAATTCATTACGTCAATTTTGCAATCACCGGCGATTTGTTTGGAAAATGTTATCTGTAAAATCTACAAGATTTAAGCAATTAGTACACATGTGTGATAAGTTATCTATTTATAAACTACCATGCAATACCGATTTGATTTGATAATAGCAAAGTACATATAACTGAGATTGAACGATAACGCCAATTAAATAATTCGGTCGAAATACATTTTTATATTTGGATATACAAATATGTATTTTTAGATAAGTTATTGATCAGTGTGTGTTGAATTGACGCAAACGAATTTCGAAAATGCACTTTTATCTTATTTTATTGATTAATCTTTGTGTGAATAATGTAGATCATTGCACCTGATCATTATAAACTTCCCAAAGGAGCAAGAAGATCCGAATTGCTAGGTTATGCAAAGATTCGTCAAAATCATTTCAACATTACGAAGAAACGTTCTGGCTGATCTTTACCAAAAAGTAACTAGCATGATTCCCAACGAGCCGATAAAATGTGTAACTTAAATTTAAAGTTTATCCCTTTCGCTACGAAAAAGTTTTCCGCGGGACTGACACTGCTGTACGAGCCCGCAAGACGCCCAACAAAATATTTTAAGATTTTCCAATAATTGTATTTATAATTATAAATTTACATTTCTAAAAAACTAAAAAATACAATACCAAATTAAAAATTACAATAATTTAACTCGTGATATAACTTGAAGCAAAAGTCGACACATTGTACGTCGTCTATAGACGACACTCGCAGTGAAAGGGTTAAATATTTGTGTTAGTGATTAATTTCATTAAATTAATAACATGTGTTTTGTCGACGTTTCAAGCAATTCTGAATCGCTCAAGACCAAAACTGAAAAAAGTGTGTGTGTATTAACCGATTTTTGACCTTTCGCCAACTCTTTCTCGAGAACAACTGAACCGATTTCAAAAATTTAAAAGCCATTTGATGAAGACTCGCACTTATTAGTTTATAGACGACAGGCTGAGCGGTTTATTTATAATTAACAAATAAGTGTTGAATTTTTCGCTCAAATTTTCGCCAAAAATCCTAAACCGAATTTGAAAATACAAAATCATAAGATATCAGTTGGGAATCATGCTGATTAGTGTTTGGTAAAGATCAGCCAGGACATTTCGTCGTAATTAAATGTTGAAATGATTTTGATGAAACTTTGCATAACAATAGAGATAAAGGTCTTTACACACATCCTAAAATATTCCTTAAATTTTGGTATAATGAGCCTTGCCCTTAGATCATATACAGTGTATATAAAAAAAAAAGTAATCACAGATATTATAAGTTTATTTGACAGATATTGATTAAAATCGCACAGACCCGTAATTAGTGAAAGCAACAACTTTAATTTTGAAATAAATAGTTGAAAATTTTATGCAAATAGCTGAATCTCAATTATTATGGATTAAGTTGATTATTTACACATATAAAGAAGTACAAGCAATTCTTCTGAAAGCAAAATACCAACCTTACACATATTTTTTTTTAGATATAATAGTTTGAAAAAAAAAAGTATAGAAAAATCCTATTTTCTATAGTTTCCATATATTATTAACTTGTCGGGAAACAACATTTTACGAATTTCGATTTGCAATTTGAAATTAGATTTGCAATTTATTTAAGAAAGTGTTGTTGCTATAAATGTATAATCAAATACCTAATTTCATGAACTGTTTTTTTTAAAACAAGAAAGCATCAAAATATTGCAAAAATGGATACCAGTGCTTTGGACTTATTTTCATATTTGTGTGAAAATAATTTAAAAGTTTTTCTTGGGCACAGCGACTGAAATATTTAACATTTGCATTATTATGGTAATAAGATATGTAAGATGCTACATATATTGCTTGACCATTTCAATAAGAATTACTCAATTAATTTATACTACTTAACCCACATTTCACAAGTAGCTTAATCTAGTGTGATCTCAACTTGTAAATTATTAATACATAAACTTTATATAATAAGTTTATATTTAGCACTTTTATTGAAATATATTTTTATTGAGTCATTGTTACATAAAACAGATGCATAAAAATGGTAAAAATAATTTTTTTTGGGCAATAGAAATAGTTATTTACAACAGTTTTCAATTCGATAAAAATATTGTCATAGAAAAGTAATGTTTTAATATGCAACTTCAATAAAGTAGTCAAATATAATTATCCAAAATCAAAAGCAGTGAAAATTTAGTTATTAAGTAACTCACCATTAAAATAAGAAGTAAACACCAGCGATACTTCTATAGATTCACCAGGTGCTAGAGGCTTCTCTGCATAATATTCAATCTGTACAAATAAAGTATTTTCTGGAATAACAAAACTCTCAAGAGGAGTCTTTCCTACTTGGTACTCTCCACACGTTCTACGAACAACACCTTTTGGAGTGCGAATCTGAATAAAAAATAATTATGATGAATTAAGATCTGATTTAAATCTGAAATTGAATTTATTTTCAAAAAACTATTATTTTGCTTCTCTTATAACAAATATATTTTGTGTTCAATATCTTGCTTATAGATATGTCTATAAGCAATTATATTATAGATATGTCTATTAAAGCACCTTCAAAAATTAATTCATTTAATTTCATACACTTAAAATAAAAAAATTCCAAATTAACTACTCCACTAGGAAATAGTGCTGATTACTTTTTGAATGCATTATTTGTTTAGCAGTCTTATAATATTAAAATTCAATTACCAGTAAATAGTCTAAACATATTCCAGTCGCTTCTGATCTTCTTAAAGATAATTTCTGTATTACAACATAAATGCCATTACTATGTTTTGAAGCTTCGATAGTAAAATTGCAATGTCTGTTATTTTCATTTAGATCTGTAACACTGACGATGGCAGATGATTCATGCCGCTTGCCCAGAAATATTCTGTGCCTTTGTGCAGAGCACACATCAGTTTCCTTAACTGAAAATGAAAGAGATATTAATTTATATAATATTGAATAAAATTGTAGTATATATATATATATATATATATATATATATTATATATATATATATATATATATATATATATATATATATATATATATATATATATATAATATATAGGTTTTTTCAGATGGTGCAAACCTTACGATAAAAGGTTTTTGACCATCTATTCAATAATAAAATTTTAAGACAAAGAATCGAATGCATTTATAAATTCATTTTACAAGATTATTTTTTTCATAATAAATTCAAAATTAATTAGTCAAAAGTAATTAGCAGAATTAATTTAGAATTTTTACTCGTTCAGTATACACACAACCATACATACCTATCTCTCAAAATAAATGATTAATTATAACTTTTATAAAATATATTTTATTTATTTTTTTATTTAAATTTTGTTAGTTATTTTAATTTTTATTTTAATATTTATCTTCCAAAAGTAAAAAAGTGTATTTTTTTAATTTTAAAATTATTAAATGTATTAATGCATAATTTCCTTTTATTTTAAATAAAATTTAATAGAAAGCGGCATCTCATAGTAAAAATAATTAGAACGTAAAAATAATTAAAAATGAAGTGATAAACCAGATATTCAAAAAAGAAAACTTAATTCGAAATAATAAAATCATATACGTTAGAACCCCGTTAAGACGATCATACTTGATACAATTTCCCGCATAATACGCCACTTATACGCTGCACAAATTTGAATCGATTGTAAAAAAATCAAAAATTGTTCGAAAGATATTGTTTGGATATAGTGTTGATTAGTTTTCGGTAAAGATCGGCCGTGCCGTTTCTTCGTAATTAAATGTTGAAAATTTTTTTGGATGAAACTTTGACAATTATATCTTAGTCTGAAATAACATCTAAAAATATTATAGGGTTACGATAAGCTGTTGAATTATAAAAAATCATTAAAGTTTGGAATTGCACCCCGCGCTTAATCAGAATCTATATGTAAGTTCCATGTTTCGTTGATAGCTACTGATTGCAGTTGAGGGCCATACTTAAATGTTAAATAGTAATTAGAATCCGTTGAATAATATTCAGAATTAAATGTTAAAAGTATTTAGAATCCGAAATGGATGAAATGGAATGTGTTAAACAAATTAATTTAAATTATGCATTTATAAATATTATAAGTTTGAAAAACATCAATTAAGAATCGCATCGATTATTTTTTAAATCTTTACTTTCAAAATAAAAATTTGAACATTTTATTTAAATCTCAGTTTCTATTGATTAAGTTGGTTATGTATACGTATCGGGAAGTTCATGCAACTTGCCTTAAGGCAAAATCGTACTTACAACTAGTTGAAACATTTTTTTTATCCCGCATAATACGCATTTCCTATGAAGTCGTCTTAACGGGGTTTTATTGTATATATTTAGAGAAAGATAAAAATGTACACATCACTTTTGAATCGATGAGTACTTATTTTCAAGGTGAGTGTCAATGCATGACTGATCAATGTAATGATTAGAATAAACTACTTTATCATTAACAAGGTCCAAATTAATAATTAGTCAAAATAAGTTGGCTTGTCTATTTATGATAAGATTATTGAAGAAAATTATATTGCGACCTAATCAAATTTTTCAGATAATTTCTGGCAATTTATTGTAATCAGAAACTATCACAGACTGATAAATTTTGTGAAAATTTAATTATGTTAATGTTAAATATTTGAATAATTATATACTAAGCAATTTTCATAAAAAATCAATCACAAATTCTTCATAAATCTATGTCATTTGATTATCATCTCATCCACATTATCATTTCTAATCAAAAAATATATGATTCATAAGAATTTTTGTAATTGAGATTTTATATCAATATTTTCAAGTACCGCGAAGAATAAAATTTACATTTTGTAAAATTCGTAAATTATACAATTGACATAAATAATATTTCTTGCAATAAGAGTGTTAATTTATTATTAGTACTATTGCAGCCATAAATAAAAATGTTTTCGCATTCATGAAGAATTATTTCATTGCAAAAGTTGACACAAACTTGTTTAATCAACATTTGCCAGTTGATATAATTCAGTATATATATATATATATATATATATATATATATATATATATATGTATATATATAACTATATTACTTATAGTTATTTACATAAACGCCAATCGGTTATGCACCGTGAATTTGTAATAACATTGATTTATATGCATATATACATATATACATACATGCATATATATATATATATATATATATATATATATATAAATTATTTCTATATTACTAATTTCTATTTTACTAACTGCAGGTAGGGTGAAAAACAATTTAATTATTAAAATGATTTCAAAATAAGGATTTGTGGTGAAAATTTAGGGCAGTATATATTTTTTGAATACTAATGCAAAAAATAGAATAAAAGAAATTAGTCCAAGAACTTAAAAAAAGTGCAGGACCGAAAAAATAAATTGTTTTTCGAAAAAAGATCTAAGTTTTTTTTAAAAATCTCATGAAATACTTAACCAAAATTCAGTGAAATTTGTGGTGAAAAACATTCACTGACTGAAAGCAGGATAAAAATTGTTTCGATTACTAAAATTACGAAATTCTAGTTCACTAAATAGGGGTTTGTGGTAGGAGGATGAAATTTTAGTTTTTTAACTTCCCGTAGGGTAAGTTATTGTAATGGGCCGAAAATCGGAATTGAAAATTTTTACATTTCTCGACGTTTTGAAGGTTTCTGAACAATTTGGCATACCCCAGAAAAAATGGATGTGTGTGTGTGTGTGCATGTATGTATGGATACAATTTTTCGCCCACGTTTTCGGGCGTACGGATCAACCGATTTGAATGGTTCAAAAAACATTCGATTCCTATTGATAAGGAGATGTGCTGATTAGTTTTTGGCAAAGGCAGGTCCAGTAGTTACGGAGATAAGGAGCAAAGAGTGCAGAAAATAGAAATCGAGTTTTTGAGAGAACGGAGCATCCGATTTGAATGATCTAAAAAACATTCAATTAGTAATGATTGGGAGAAGGGGTTATGAGTTTTTCGCAAAGGCAAGCCCAGCCATTTCGGAAATACAGAGCTAAATACAGAACTAAGCGTCCGATTCAATTGATTCAACGAACTTTCTGCTTGCCTTAACAAAATAATTGATTTAGAAAAAAAAATTTTGTTTCATTTTTTTTTTTTTTTTTTTAATTTTTGGTATATCGAAAATAATTCAAATTTTATTTTTAATTCTGACTATAGTTCTAATATACTTTAAACAAATAATTTCAACTCTGCAATTCAGTTTATATAATTCTTATAAATATTAGACAATGTTACAATATTTATAATAATCTATTTGAAAACATTCAATATTTCTCGAACATTTCGTTACGGTACGGGAAGTTTCAGCAATTTGCCTTAAGGCACGATGCCACCCACCCCACTAGTTTTAATTTAAATAGGCACTTCAACTAGCACTATAATAAAATAAGTGAAAAAGATAAAAAAAAATTATAACAAATCTTTGAGGTAAGAAAGTATGAATAGATGTTAGCCAATTCTCCAAATAAAAACATAATTTCATAAAAACCAGTCAAGCAGTTTTAGAGCAGTATGATCACAACTACGACAAAAGAAATATATGTATATATATATATATATATATATATATGTGATAAAATTGTTCTTGGACATTCATCCAATAATTAAACAATTTTAGGAAGAAAAATGTCTATTGTAGTATCAAACGTTTCGGGTCCTGATTTGACCCGAATGTATACACTGAATAATGGGTCCAATCAGGACCCGAAACGTTTGATACTACAATAAAGACATTTTTCTTCAATGAAATTGTTTAATTATTGAATGAATGTCCAGGAACAACTTTATCATATATATTTCACCACCTGATAAAAACCTATTGCATTATATATATATATATATATATATATATATGTATATATATATGTATATATATGTATGTGTGTATGTATGTATGTATATGTTCTTTGTACACACAACCATCCATCGAGGAATACTAAATTACTTTAAAAAGGTTCTGTGGTTGGAAGGTAAAAAATTAGGGCTGTATGCTTGTTGTATCCCCTAAACAAAAGTCTAATTAAAACATATAAAAGACTTATTAAAATCAAACCATATACAAGATTTATTAAAACATAACTTTCTATAATAGTTTTTCATTTTCATAACGGGGTGGATGCTTGTATGAAAAACTTCATTATAATTATATACCTTATATATATATATATACTTTTTAATTAAAATTCAAGTATTTGTCAACAAATCATTGATATATAATTGAAAAGTTTCACCAAGTCTTGATAAATTTACAATGATTTGGAGATTAATATTATATAAATATAAAAGAGTATTTGGGAATTCTCAAGTACCATCAAGAATAAGACTTCCAATTTGTAAACCTCTTAAGTAAAAATAAATATTAGTAATTAATTATCAGGACATAATTAATATATATATATATATATATATATATATATATATACATATATCATCTTATATATTATATATAGTGTTAGTTTACAAAATGTTTGATCGAAAGAGTCTGGTTTCCAAAAAAATAAATTTATAATTACATCATTATTTGATTTTGAGATGTGAATATTGTGTCTACAAAACACTTTGCTTATAACAATTTTGTTTAGAACAAATAAATGTAAAATGACATCATAATATAGTATTAAGAAGCATGGACTGTGTTTACAAAACAGTTGTTCGGAACAATATTGTTTAGAAAGAATAAATGTAGAATGACATCATACTTCAGCTTTGAGAAGTAAGAACTGTGTTTGCAAAACCCAGGTGTGACTGTGTTTATAAACACTTGTGCTCAGAGGAATTTTGTTTAGAAAGAATAGATGTAGAATTAGAAATATACATTTGACAACAGTGCCTAATTAAAATATATACAAGATGTATATTGAAATTTATAGTTTATTAGATATGTTTATATATGTACACATAGAGCAAGTGCTATTATTGTTATCAAAACAGTTTCAACAAATGTTTTCAGGTAAATTCCAGGCCAAAGCCGGCAGGCAGATAAACAATAGTTGCTCAAAAAAATTTGTTTTAGAAGAAATTAATTTACAATTGTGTACATCATAACTTAGTTTCGAGAAGTAGAGTCTAGGTTTACAAAACAGTTGCTCGAAAGAATAGATGTAGAATTACAAATATACATTTGAAAACATTGCACAAGATGAATATTGCAATTTAAAGCTTATAATATATGTTAGTATATGTACACATAAGACAAATGCAACTATTGTTATAAAAACAATCTTAATAAATGTCTTCAGGTAAATTTTTAAGTCAGCAGTCAGATAAATAATAGTTGCTCGAAAGAATTTGGTTTAGAAGGAATAAATTATAAAATTTGAGAAGTAGGGACTAGATTTGCAAAATAGTTTCTCGAAAGAATAGATGTTGAATTAGAAAGGTACATTTGAAAACAGTGCACAAGATGTATATTGAAATTTACGGTTTGTAACGTATTGAACATACATGTACACATAGAATAAGTGTTATTATTGTTAAAACAGTCTCAATAAATGTTTTCAGGTAAATTTATATGTCAGCGGGCAGATAAATAATGTTTGCTCAAAAGACTAAATTTAGAACATTATAAAATGGTTTTGGTAAGTAAGGACTGGTTTACAAAATAGTTGCTCAAAAGAATAGATGTAGAATTAGAAATTAAGATTTGACAACATTGCACAAGATGAATATTAAAATCTACGGGTTATAATATGCATTTATATATGTACACACAAAGTAAGCATTATAATTGTTATCGAAACAGTCTTAATAAACATTTTCAGGTAAATTTATAAGCCAGCTGTCTGAAAAATAATAGTTGCTCGAAAGACTAAATTTATATTGACATCATAAAATGGTTTTGGTAAGTAAATGCTAAGTTTACAAAAAAATTGTTCGAAAGAACTTTGTATGAAAAAATAAATATAAAATTAAGAATATATGTTTGACAACATTGCACAAGATGTATATTGAAATTTAGAGCTTATTAGATATGTCTATATATGTACACATAGAACAAAAGCTATTATTGTTATCGAAACAGTCCCAATGAATGTTTTCAAGTAAATTTATGAGCTGACAGTCAAATAAATATTAGTTGTTCGAAAGAATTTGGTTTTAAAAAGAACAACCTTAGAATTACATGGTTTTGACATGTGAGAACTGTCTTCACAAAACAATTGCTCGAAGGAACTTTGTATGCAAAGAATAAATGTAAAATTAAGAGTATACATTTGACAACAGTGCACAAGATGAATATTAAAGTTTGCAGCTTATTATGTATCTTCATATATGTACCAATAAGATAAATACTATTATTTTTATGAAAACAGTCCTCAAAAGATGTTGAGGTAAATTTATAAGACTGCTGGATTTAGATAAATAATATTTATATAAAATCCACTCAGTAATTCTTGAACAGATAGTTACAAGTAACTAGTTATACATGACAGCACAAAAACCAACAATAAATTATCCACTAGAAATTTCCACAATCCAACCTCTATTGACACATTTTACTCAAATTTTTTAACTCACATGTTTTGTAACCCGTCGAAAGTGTTGTCACAAACATCATCGTATAAAATAACAAAAAATAATGAACGTGCAACAGTTCCATTTTGTTAATTTAAAATCGAACATTATTGACTTGTCATGACATTATTGTTGCTTCGAATGTTGTAAATAACAAATAACGATAGCACGATGACGGCGAAACAGAATTCCACTGACTCGTTCGTGCGTTTTCGTGACAGGTCTCGGAAAGTTTACGAAGAACCTGTTGATTGAGAACAAAGATGGCGGGTAGATGGCGGCACTTGAAAAGCGGTAAAATTTAAAATTTAAAATTTTAAATTTAAACAGTATGAAGAACGTTTTTTTAAAACCATTTTTGTTAAAAGAAAGTACGATTATTATTAATTATATATCTTTTTTGTAACAGAAAAATGAGTTTAGATAAAAATAAAGATATAATAAAAAATATATATTACCTTTTATTGACTTGAAGAGTTTATTTATAAGACTTCATAATATGTATAATATAACTATGTAATATGACTATATAATATGATATATTATATAACGTGATAAATATTTGAAACTAGTTGTAAGTAGCATTTTGCCTTAAGGCAAAAGGAGTAAATAAGGGGTAGATAGCGACACTTGAAAAGCGGTAAAACTTAAAATTTTAACAGTATGCAGAACGTTTTTTTAAAACTATTTTTTTTTTTTTTTTTTTTTTTTAAGAAAGCACGATTATTATTAATTGTAAACCTTTTTTGTAACAGTGAGTTTAGATATAAATAAAGGTATAATAAAAAATATATATTACCTTTTATTGACTTGAAGAGTTTATTTATAAGACTTCATATATAACATGATAAATATTTGAAACTAGTTGTAAGTAGCATTTTGCCTTAAGGCAAAAGGGGTAAATAAGGGGTAGGTAGCGACACTTGAAAAGCGGTAAAATTTAAAATTTAAACAGTATGCAGAACGTTTTTTAAAACTAATTTTTTTTTAAAGAAAGCACGAATATTATTAATTGTAAACCTTTTTTGTAACAGTGAGTTTAGATATAAATAAAGATATAATAAAATATATATATTACCTTTTATTGACTTGAAGATTTTATTTATAAGACTTCATATATAACATGATAAATATATGAAACTAGTTGTAAGTAGCATTTTGCCTTAAGGCAAAAGGGGTAAATAAGGGGTAGATAGCGACACTTGAAAAGCGGTAAAATTTAAAATTTAAACAGTATGCAGAACGTTTCTTAAAACTATTTTTTTTTAAAGAAAGCACGATTATTATTAATTGTAAACCATTTTTGTAACAGTGAGTTTAGATATAAATAAAGATATAATAAAAAATATATATTACCTTTTATTGACTTGAAGAGTTTATTTATAAGATTTTATATGATGAAAAAATTAAACTAGTGGGGTGGGTGGCATCGTGCCTTAAGGCAAATTGCTGGAACTTCCCGTACCATAACGAAATGTTCGAGGAATATTGAATGTTTTCAAATAGATTATTATAAATATTGTAACATTGTCTAATATTTATAAGAATTATATAAACTGAATTGCAGAGTTGGAATTATTTGTTTAAAGTATATTAGAACTATAGTCAAAATTAAAAATAAAATCTGAATTATTTTCGATATACAAAAAATTAAAAAAAAAAAAAAATAAAAATAAAACAAATTTTTTTCTTCCAAAATCAATTATTTTGTTAAGACAAGCAGTAAGTTCTTTGAGTCAATTAAATCGGACGCTTAGTTCTCTCAAAAACTGCCATTTATTGTACATTTAGCTCTGTATCTCCAAAATGGCTGAGCCTGCCTTTGCGATACTCCGTGCTCTCAAAAACTCGATTTCTATTTTCTGCACTCTTTGCTCCTTATCTCCGTAACTGCTGGACCTGCCTTTGCCAAAAACTAATCAGCACATCTCCTTATCAATAGGAATCGAATGTTTTTTAAACCATTCAAATCGCTTGATCCGTACGCCCAAAAACGTGGGCGAAAATTTGTATCCATACATACATACACACACACACACGCATACATCCATTTTTTCTGAAGTATGCCAAAATGTTCAGAAACCTTCAAAACGTCGAGAAATGTAAAAATTTTCAATTCCGATTTTCGGCCCATTACAATAACTTACCCTACGGGAAGTTAACTAGTTGTAAGTATCATTTTGCCTTAAGACAAGTTGCATGAATTTTCAGATACGTATATATAATCAAATTAATTATTTAAAAACTGAGATTCAGCTATTTAGCTAATTTCTTCAATTGCTTATTTTAAAAATAAATATTTTGCTTTCATTGAAAAGATTTTCAATTGATATTTTTTAAACATACTTATAATATATGTAATTGTATAAATTGAATAAATTTTGAATACATTTTATTTAATATATAACTTGCCCTACGGGAAGTTAAAAAATAGTTACCTAATTTACACAAAATTGAAAAAGTGCTCCCGCATAGTCACAGTCTAAACGCATTTGCAAACAATTCTGTGCGACATTTTCATTTATACTGTGCTTAGCTTGGCGGCATTTTCACATTTTTCAATAGTTTTCACAAAATTGGAAAATCGCTCCAGTCTAAACGGTCTAAACGCACTTGGGTAAACATTTGTACCAGAGTGGATTTTAATCAAAAATTACAAAAATATTTTTTGAAAAAAAAAAATTAGAAACAAATTTTTTTCCAAAAGCAATTATTTTGTTGAAACAAGCAGAAAGTTCTTTGAATCATTTAAATCGAACGCCTAGTTGTCTCAAAAATTGCCATTTTTTTAACATTTAGCTCTGTATTTCCGAAACCGCTCGGCCTACCTTTGCCAAAAACTAACAATCACTTTTCCCCGTCATTACGAACTGAATGTTTTTTGGATCATACAAATCGGATGATCCGTTCTCTCAAAAACTCGATTTCTATTTTCTGCACTCTTTGCTCCATATCTCCGTAACGGCTAGACCTGCCTTTGCCAAAAACTAATCAGCACATCTTCCTAATAATAGGAATCGAATGTTTTTTAAACCATTCGAATCGGTTGATCCGTGCGCCCGAAAACGTGGATGAAAAAATGCGGACATACAAAACACACCCACGCACACACACACACACATCCATTTTTTCTGAGGTATGCCAAAATGTTCAGAAACCTTCAAAACGTCGAGAAATGCAAAAATTTTTATTTTCGATTTTTGGCCCATTACTATAACTACCCTACGGGAAGTTGAAAAGTCTTTTCTAACAAAAATATATATAATAGAGACTATAACAGACTATAATATTTTTTTTGACAATTGCAACAATTTTAAATGTTCTGAAAAGTTTATCAAATACAATTTTATGTTTAAAAATACACAAAATTTAAAAAAATCAAATGAAGATATTTATTTATTTATTTAGATGCAAAAATTATTTTTTGTAATTTTTATATTTTTTTCTAAGTTTATATAATATATATATATATATATATATATATATATATATAAAAATAATATTTTATCAAATAAACTAAGAAAAACCATACATCTTGCATTATTATGGAGTATACTTCGGTATGGTGAGAATCTGTGTTTGCTAACTCGCGCTTTGAAGTATTGCTCGATAGTTCATATATTTGATTCAAATTCTTCGCTTATTAATATATTATATTATAGCTACGCAATTTTTGGATGGCCTCTCGAAAGGGAGGCTTCATAAAACTCATATGTGTTAAATTATATATACAGAGCCGGTCCTCAGCGTCCGCATGTTATTTTTTTTAGCGTTTTTGAGCAAATCGTAGAGAGCAAAAAAAAAAGCTCTTATTATTAAACATAACACTGATCATGTTGGATTTTTTAATGTGAATTTGCATTATTTATAATATCCAAAATTGCATCGTAAACTCCTCACATACACATTTTTCAAGTTTGGTCTCATTCGATTCAGAATGACTTGAAACGTCGATAAAATATAAAATTTGCGAATCGGATTTTTATCGCAAAAACAAAGTTCTTCTTTGGGAAGTTGATAAAATCTAAACTAAACTAGTGGTGTATGGCATTGTGCCTCAAGGCAAATTGCTGGAACTTCCCGTACCAAAAATTATTATTTTTTTTGAAAAAATTTTACTTAAAAAAAATTTGATTTTTGAGAAACTATAAATTTGACAAAAAATTACTTTCTTTTGAAAAAAAAATTTTTTTTTGAAAAGAAAAATGTTTCTTTCATTTTGACATATTTTGGAAATTCTGAACTTTTTTTCAAAGCAATCGTACTGCTTTATCTGCATAGAGACAAAATGTCAAAGCGCGCAAGTGCCGCGCTGCCGTCTAACGGATAAGCATTGGTACGGAACCCATAGAAATGTAAAAAAAAATTAAACTTATTGTTAAAATCTTTATAAAATATCTGATAATTTGATGTGCATATGTCTAATGATCATTTTTGACCACCAAATGGCATTTTTTTACTTTTTTATTAGATCTCCGAAACCGCTAGACCTGCCTTCATGAAAATTTGATCAATTCTTCATCTTGTCAATGCAAGTAAAATGTTTTTTGTATTATTAAAATCGGACGCTCCGTTCTCTTAAAAACTGAGTTACCATTATGGCACTTTTTGCGGAATCCGTATCTTCGGAACGGCTAGACCTGCCTTCGCCAAAAACTAATCAGCACGTCTCCTTATCAATAGGAATCGAATTATTCAAATTGGTTGATCGGTGTTTCTTTTTGCTGTCGAATGGTGTAATTATTTTTCGGAAAACATTTATCAATTATAGATTTCTACGCATCTAAAAATTACTAAATTTGCAAATTTTAATAAAATTGTTAATTTTGAAAATGTTCAATTATTGATCGCTTACTTGAATATATAACAAAATAAAATTTCTCAAAAACTCGTTTATTTCAACCTTTACCCTTAGAGAGGTTACTCTAAATATCTTTACAAATTTTTAAAGTTTTGTTAGAATATGTGAAATGAGATATTAATAATTATCGAATGAGATAAACCTGCACGTCTTCAAAATTATTCAATCCAAAAAATAATTATTTTATTATAAAAAAACTGTTAGTTTGATGTATATCTTCCAAAAGGCTGGACCTGCCAAAAGCTAATCAGCACGTCTCTCCGTTACTACGATTTTACAATGTTTTTTGAATCAA